TGTCTTATTTAAACTGTACAATGCTCTTACTTGGACCAATTTAAGTTTTGGAGGAGCTAGGGTGATGTTATTTTGATCTGTGATGTGGTAAGGACATGTTTGGTGATCTTATTTTAAAGCTGCGCAACATTGAGAGTTCTCTTGGAGTGGAACTGGAGCTCCAAGTTCCAATTTAGGACCCCAGTTGGAGCGCATGCCTCGTCAATGGAATAAATCCAGTCCGCTTCTCAGCGCAGCGTGTGATTCTGAATTTCAGCGCCGACGACCACTTCACGGGCCCCATGGATACCAACGTGGTGATCCGCCACGACGGCCGGATCACGTGGGACTCGCCGGCGATCACCAAGAGCTCCTGTAAGGTGGACGTGTCCTTCTTTCCCTTTGACGCGCAGCAGTGCAGGTTCACCTACGGCTCGTGGACCTACAACGGCAACCAGCTGGACATCCTCAACGCCATGGAGAGCGCCGACCTGGCCGACCTGGTGGACAACGTGGAGTGGCAAGTCCTGGGTATGGCGGCCAAAAGGAACATCGTCTTGTACGGCTGCTGCGCCGACCCTTACCCCGACGTCACCTTCACGCTGAAACTCAAGAGGAGGGCCTCCTTCTACGTCTTCAACCTGCTGATACCCTGCGTGATGATCTCCTTCCTGGCTCCGCTGGGCTTCTACCTGCCTGCGGACTCGGGAGAAAAAGTGTCTTTGGGCGTCACCGTGATGCTGGCGCTGACCGTCTTTCAACTGCTGGTCGCCGAGATTATGCCACCATCGGAGAATGTACCGCTCATCGGTAGGGGTGAAAGCTCAATCCGTCACCGCTATTACCGAGGTTATGTTGTGTGATCGCAATGGCCCCATGCGTCCTTCCATTCTTCCGAGCTGAAGCCAGATAACCGCGGGTGAGCGTGACATCTCCGGTCAGTCACATGGCCAGTCACACTTTAACACTGGCGCCGACTGATCCCAACCGTGGGTAAAGGAGAGAGATAAAAATAACAAATCAAGCAGCTTAAACATCCGAATCTCTGCGGCGATCTTTAAAGCGAGGAATCAAAAGACAACCATTTAGTTTTCTGAACCTACATGCATTTTTTGGGGGGAAAAAGTGCCCACGGAGAGTCCTCAGAATTAGAAGGAACAACATTTAGTCCTGAGAAAGGCCTGACCCAAGAGTCCAAGTCGATTTTGGGTTGGGGGGTTCGGGCAGGGGTGTCGAATCCCGGTTCCGAAAACACAACCCCTGCCACAGTTGGGCTTTAGCCACAGATGCTTTTCCTTCAAAGCCACTCTGGAGCAAGGTTTTTACTTGTTCTACTTTTCCTTCAGGTTGACCTCAGTCAAATGAGCGAGCAGAAACCAACTCATGCGAAACCGTATGCATCGTCTCTCACCCACAGGAAAGTATTACATTGCCACCATGACCATGATCACGGCCTCCACCGCCTTGACCATCTTCATCATGAACATTCACCACTGCGGCCCCGACGCCAAGCCCGTCCCCAAGTGGGCCAAGAAGGTCGTCCTGCAGTACATGGCCAGAATGTGCTTCGTTTACGAGGTCGGGGACAACTGCATGTCTCCCCCGTCCGAGAAGCGGGAACCTCCGCCGGCGAAGAACCGCAACACGAACGGCTCGGCGGGGGCCTTCGGAGAGGAACAGACCTTTGGAACGGCGACAGCTTTCCCCGTGCCCGCAGAGGAAAAAGAAGACTTGGATGGGTCGTTGGGGGTGAAGCACACCGATTGTTACAGCCCCCGGCAGAACGCCGCCGTCGTCAGCATGGACGACGACGACGACCTGGGCCGTGCGAGGAGATGCCGCAAAGGGGGCGTGAGCGAGAGGCGGGCCTCTCGTGGGCCGCCCTGCGACGAGAGGCGTCTGCTCTTGCCGAATGTGGAGTACATCGCCAACTGCTACAGGGAGCAACGGGCCACTCAAAAGAGGACTGGCGAGTGGAAGAAGGTGGCCAAGGTACTGGACCGCTTCTTCATGTGGTCCTTCTTCATCATGGTCTTCTTCATGAGTCTTCTCATCATGGGCAAAGCCGTCTGACACCTCGCCCGTCGGTTCAGTGGAGTCGTGCTCGACATCAGCGCGTTACGGGGGCACCAAATGTTGTAGTCCGTGCGTAGCATACCATTTGAATATCTGTTCCATTAAAATGTAGTCACTTGTTCCCGTCAGTCTGAAATGCTATCCGCGTCTCTTTGCTCTCTGGGCTACAAATAAGCACTCCTCTCTCAGGGTCTCTGTCAGGGCCAAAGGATTTGTAGCCATTCGCAATCAAATTAATTAAGGGACCACTCAGGATCTGAAGTGTCCACGCTTGGTCTCACGGGTGGCAAGACACAATTAGTCCGTTCCAAAGGTCCTAACCGCTGCCGCATTGTGGCCATTAACCGTGCGCAACAGTTCCCGAGAACTCTGTGACCCCTCGAATGATTCAATTAGTGCGACACATGTCCCGAGATATCAACAAAAAGGCTCAACCGTCCACTTTTGATGGCTTTTTGACGACTCGGGTCTGTCATTTTGCGCTGTTGGCTACATTGACCGTAAACACGACGTCTTGTTGCGAATCAGTATTTCAGTCTAACTGTATTGATACAGATACCTCCGATTCGTTAGTCACGTTTGGTACGCGTTTTTGAAATGTCATTTGCTTTTCTTCACGGTGCGAGTGAAAAGCAAAAAACAAGTGCCCACCGAGAGCGCCGGTTCAA